AAAACGCTCCGATCTACATACCATAAACAAATCCATAGACACATCATTCAGTGATTTAAAGGCAGTTTTAACGACATTTGATTATAATGTTTGCATCGAAACGTTAAATAAACGAGAAATTAATAAATATAATGAATGCAAAAACAAATATATAATAAAATATCAAAAATAAACGACCAAATTAAATGTCAAACATCTGTGTCGACGTGAGAACGAAACGCAACCGTCGACTACGAACGCGGATCATAGATTAAACGCGGTCTATAATCTGTCAAAACAAACTCTGGATGATGCAACAATTAGAGTATTATCGAAAGGTCTTAATTTTGCTATAACACCGAAAAAATTACCGTACGAACAAATTATCTGTAGTGTCGAGGACTGTTTATTTAAAAACAATATGCAAAAGGAGGATTTGGAAGCGATACGTCAAGACATTTCGTCCATGTTACGTCGAAGTTCAGCGCCAAAACCTAATCTACCTAAAGACGAATTCAAAGCGTTGACTAACCTACGCAATAAACCAGAACTCACGATTCTCCGCGCAGATAAGGGAAATGCCACAGTAGTTATGGATACGTCAGATTATAATTCTAAAATACAAGAACTTTTGTCGGATGCAAGTACGTATAAAAAGGTTAAAAATGACCCAACAAATAACACACTTAAAACAACTAGTGATCTCATAAAGAAACACTCCGAAAAATTAAATCTAGACGTAAAATCGATATTACCTACGTGTGCTAAACCACCGAAGTTATATGGGTTACCAAAAATACACAAGCCCAATGCTCCACTACGTCCTATAGTGAGCCAAATCGATTCACCAACTTATAGATTGGCTCAACACTTAGCGAATATACTCTCACCGCTCAAGGGACATACAAGAGCACACACAAAGGATTCCTACCATTTTGTCAGTGAGATTAAAAACCTACATCTGGCAGACAATGAAACTATGGTGAGTTTTGATGTGCAGTCTCTGTTCACATGCTTACCTGTTGAAGACTGCATCTCGATTGTTACTAGAAGGCTAGAGGAAAACAACATGCCCGTAGAATATGCAGTATTACTCAGACACTGCCTTACATCTGGCTACCTATTGTGGAAGGAGGAGTTCTACAAGCAAGTAGATGGTGTGGCGATGGTCTCACCTGTATCTCCCATTGTTGCCGATATATTCATGGAGGACTTTGAGGAAAAAGCCCTGCTTACTTCTCCCATAAAGCCAAGATTCTACAAGCGGGACGTAGACGACACTTTCACAATTCTACCTTTAGATAAAGTAACTGCATTTTTAGACCATCTTAACTCCTTAAATTCTAAAATTCAGTTCACAATGGAGTTAGAGGCAAACAATTCTTTAGCTTTTCTAGATGTGTTAGTAATTCGGAATCCTGATAACACCTTGAGCCACACTGTGTATAGAAAAAAGACCCATACAGATAGATATTTAAACGGTGATTCTCACCACCATCCTTCATAGTTAGCTACCGTGGGTAAATTTTTGTTTCAGAGAGCACGAGGGATCTGTGACAGTAAACACCTGGCCCCCGAGCTCCAACACGCCAAGCAAGTTTTGCACGACAATAAGCTTCGGGTCCCGCGCCTACGTCACAGTGAACGAGTGAAGCCGGCCACAGTCGAGCGAGTGCCTGCTGTACTGCCATATGTCAGAGGTGTCACTGACAAGATTGGCTACATCTTGAAGCGTGCTTCCATTAAAACATATTTCAAGCCGCCGAAGAAGATTAGTCAGTTTTTACCATCAGTCAAGTGTAATATTCCTCTGCAAGGTGCAGGAGTGTACAAGCTGGATTGTGAATGTGGTCTCTCTTATATAGGACAAACTAAAAGATCCATAAAAACCCGTGTTAAAGAACACATAGCTGATGTGAAGAATAGACGCTCCGGGAAGTCTGCAGTCTGTGAACACGTACAGGATCGCCCCCGTCACTACATTAGATTTGATAGACCACAAATCCTCGCTAAAGAACACCAATTCCTACCAAGGATGATTCGCGAGGCTCCACAAATCCTCGCTAAAGAACACCAATTCCTACCAAGGATGATTCGCGAGGCTATTGAAATCAAAAAACATCCTAATTTCAATAGAGAAGATGGCTGGGTGCTACCATCTGCTTGGGATCCCATAATTAATAAAATTAAATCCCAACCCAAGCATACAAGCAAGACTTCATGATACTGTAAGTTCGTACTGCGTAGATCGGAACAAAAATTAATAATTTTCAATCTGGAGGTAGCCGTGGTTAATGTAATGAGGGTACATTAAATATATAAGTGATTGATTGTAAAAGGCTTGTCGAACAGTCACGAATAAACCGTCAATCTGCTTACCCGTGTCTTATTTACTTATTTACGAAATACACTACAGTGGCGACCAGGGGCGGATTTGAACTTTATGGGGCCCGGGGCTAAAATTGAGAAGGGGCCCACTTAAGGACAGCGAAAAAGGCTATTTATCAAATATAAAAAAATTCATTTATTAATTTATTATAAATTATTTATATTTATTATAAACTATTATTTATAGATACAATGAAGTACAAACAATTATTTTAAAATTCCATTAAAACATTTTTTTATTGATTTTGCTCTAGTAAAATCATGAATTAAGTTATCGAAGTTAATTGATCTCAATAAGTCGACTTCGATGCTTAATCTTGTTAAAGATGATGGTCTGTCGTCTGACATCGTTGATCGATACATGTTTTTTATTCTTTTCAAAACTGAAAATCATCTTTCTGATTCGCAATTTGCGATTGGAAGTGTAAGTAGTATCCTGTAAGCAATATAGGTGTACGGAAAAACTTGTATTAACAAGTTTTACTTGTCTAAATCTACAAGCCAATTTAAAACTTTTAAGGGACACAAGATTTCATTTGCACTTGTGTTTTTTTCTGTACAATTGGAAAAAAGCCCGGCTGCCGTTTTAAACATGGTATAAATTGTTTCAATTCAACTGATAAATCTTTTTCTAAATCGTCAGAGTAAACCTTTACGAGATTTGCTACTTTTTTTCTAATACATCTGTCTCTATAAATAATAATTGTGTGAGAAAGCCAAATAGTTGAATGATGCGATCATATGCTTCACTCCGTTTTTGCAACTCGGCAACTAATTTGTATATAATCACATAAAATGTGTTTACTCGGAATTTATCAGCCGGGCTTAAGCTACTAGCTTGTGATTTTTTGTCGGTTAGCATTCTTGTGACCTTTCGTTTGTTTGCATCAGAATATTCTTGATCCACAAAATTACTTAGTTGTTTGGCTTGATTTTCAATGTCAGAAAATGTATCTCGCAAATCTGCCACAAAATCCACTAATGAAAGTAGCATGTTATTTGCAGAATTAAATTAATTTAATTAAATCTGTTTCAACATTTTGAAGAATCGCCATAAAACATTTTCAAGTTTTTTTATACGTTTCAATAAAGTTTCAGCGTCTTTCCGAGTTTCGCGTTTTTGTTCTTCATCATTCGCAAAAATTTCTAGAGCCCTACAAATACCTCCATGACTCTTTACTACAACTTTTGTGGCGTCTCCGCGACATGACCATCTCGTTTTCGATAAGCTCGTTATTTTAGAATTCTCAGTGATTAAGATGTCCCACCGATGTGTTGATGCACTAAAAAATGCATATAGCCGCTGTAAAATTCCGAAGAAATTTGTAGCATCAAGACATACGTCGACACTACATTCTCCCACTAAGTTTAAAAAATGGCCAGCGCAAGGCACGTAAAACGCTAATTCATTTTTTTTTCTCTAATACAAGCTTGAAGTCCAATATATTTACCGGACATATTGGAAGCGTTGTCATAGGTCTGAGCTCTGCAATTTTTAATGTCGATACCGTGCTCCTGTGGTAAATCTAATACGTCATTACTAAGCGACCTACCTTTTTATTTGTAAAAAGCAGAAAAAACGCTCATAAACGTGACAATCTAAGTAGTATCGGAAAATGACTGACAACTGATCGATGTGGGATATATCTGGGGTAGAATCTACGACGAGTCCCCAATATTTTGCACTGTGTATTTCATCAATAATACGTTTTAATACTTTTGCAGCCATTAACTTTATAAATTCTTCGTATATAGTTTTAGATAAATAAGAGACTGTACCACTGCCTTTGTGAGCACTTTTTTTGCCACTAATTGGCGCTAATTTTATTCCATGCAAATTGTAGTTAACTTTCTCGGTATCGAGTGCGTAAAAACAATATCTCGCACTAGGCACACAGATATCTCTCTGTCATTACACTATCTAGCCCTGTTTTGTCCCTGCCTTGTTTACTGGCGATCTGGTGAGGTCCTCGTATTGTTTACAACATTGATATGATATTTTTATAGTTTTCTTTTTAACCGAATTTTCAAAGATAATTATAGCGATAAACAAGTGAAAAAAATAATAATAAATAGTATAACAGATTTAATTTTTCTTTTTTTGTTTTCTTTACAATTGTTTTTAAATAATCTTTCATATAAATTTATTTAAATTATATAAGTGAAAAAGAAAATCACATCCTTTGGCATGAATGAATAACTCAAATTATTGCGCGATAAACATTAACATTCTCTGGTAGAAATTTCCCTCAACCGTTCGCCACCGTGACCAACTACTGCAGCGTTAGCCGCAGTTTTTCCCAACCCATTCGCTAATAATACCACTTATTTCGTTATTTCATCGCAGATTTACACCCGTCGTTGGCCAACAAATAGTTAACCGATGGCAAATTAAAAATCGTAGGTAATTTTGATTAACTTATTTTCTTTGGAAAAAATTTTATTTTTATTCAAAATTCTTTGAAACAGGTTTAAAAAAATTATTTTTGATTCGAGACCGCGGGGCCCTCTCCCAAGGTGGGGCCCGGGGCTATAGCCCCCCCTAGCCCCTCCTTTAATCCGCCACTGGTGGCGACGAGGATCAAGTCGTTTTTATTTTTTCGGTAAATTTACGTGGACGCATATTAAATATAATGTCGATCGGCAAAGTGAGTGAATTCAACGTCAAAACGGGAAACTGGACTTTATATGTTGAGAGACTAGAAATGTACCTTAAGGTAAATGCAGTGAAAAACGAAATGTGGTTGCCGACATTAATCGCCGGTATGGGAGACGAAGCGTACGAATTATTAAGTAATTTAACAAGTCCGATTAAACCGGGAGATAAATCGTATCAAGAAGTGGTAAAAATACTTCAGGAACATCTTCAACCGAAACCCTCGTTCATGGCGGAGCGATATCGTTTTCGACAAAGGCAGTTGAGCGGAGAAACGATTCCGCAGTATATAACCGAACTTAAGAAATTGTCGAAATACTGCGAGTTTCATTCAACTCTAGAGGACAATTTAAGGGATCAATTGGTGTGTGGGCTAAGAAGTGATGTCATCCGTCAACGATTATTCGCAGAAGATAATCTGAAATATTCCGTAGCTGTGAGAATAGCTTGCGCTTTAGAGGCGGCGGAGCGGGATTCGGCCGCGGTGGAGCAGGCGGGCGACGGCGACGGGCTCGGCGGTAGCGGCGCGGACAGCGCCTTGCATGCGGTGACGTCATCGACAAGCCGCGCTCGAACGCGGGAGCAGGACAGCGCACCGAGGGCTTTTAAAGGTCGAGAACATGGCGGCGGCAATGCGCTATATTGTAGCGCGTGCGGGTCGAGGTACCACCGAAGTGATGATTGCCGCTATAAGAAATTCGTGTGTGGTAAATGCAAACAGAGCGGTCATCTACGCCGGGTATGTCCCAAACGAGGGGGGTACACGGGAAATGCGGGCTCCCGACGCCACATGTACCATGTGGAGGCGGCAGAGTGCGAGACACCGTCAGCGGACGACGAGCCACCATCCGTGGAAAGTCAAACGGAGTTACAGGAGGATCTACACCATCTATGTTTAAATAGCTATAAACCGGTGAGCCTAACATTATTATTAGACGGATTTAAACTTAATATGGAAATTGATACCGGGTCGGCAGTGTCTTGTATAAGTAAAGCGACTTATAATAAATATTTTTACACTAGACCTATGGACAAGTTCGATCTGGTTCTAAAATTTTATGATGGAAGTCGAATCAAACCTTTAGGCATCATCAAGCCCGAAGTTAGATATGGAAATATAACAAAGCACTTAGAACTGTTTGTAATAGATGGGGGCACGACTTCATTGTTGGGTAGACAGTGGCTGTCGGAACTGCAGATTAAAATTCCGACATTCCACAGCATGGTGCTGGATGACCATTTTAGTAACAATAATTTGTCATTATTACTCGACAGATATAACAAGTTGTTTTCCGGCGGCTTGGGGCGGTTCGCGGGCGGCAAGGCGACGCTGCGAGTCCGGGAAGGGGCGACACCGGTGTTCTGCCGCGCACGACCTTTGCCCTACGCGCTCAAGGACCGCGTGGATGCTGAGCTGGATGCGATGCTTCGGGAGGGGGTTATTGAACCCGTGGAGAGCTCTGACTGGGCTACACCTCTGGTGCCGGTACGTAAGGCGGATGGAGGGCTCCGAATTTGTGCAGACTATAAAGTGACACTGAACCCCGTATTGCTGGTCGATAGATTTCCCTTGCCTAGGATTAATGATTTGTTAGTAGGTATGAATGGCGCTAAAATATTCTCTAAAATCGATCTGTCACAAGCCTACAATCAGATCGAACTAGATAACTCTAAAAACCTTACCGTTATAAATACACATAGGGGCTTATTTACGTATAACAGGCTAGTATAAATGGGTTGTCATCAAGTCCAGGAATTTTCCAGCGTATAATGTCAAATCTTTTTCACGATATCGAAAAGGTAGAAGTATTTTTAGACGATATAATAATAGGTTCTTCTAATGAAAGAGAGCATTTACAAATATTGGAGACGGTGCTTAGTAGATTACATAAAAACGGAATGAAGCTTAGGAAAGACAAATGTTTATTCATGGTGGACGAGGTCAAGTATTTAGGATATATTATTTCAAAAGATGGCATTAAAGTTGATCCTGACAAGGTAGCTGCTATAGTAAAAATTCCGCGCCCCAAGGACGTTTCGGACTTAAGATCATTTTTAGGATTAGTCAATTTTTACGCTAAGTTCATTAAAAATTTAAGTACTACCTTAGCCCCACTTTACGGCTTATTAAAAAAGGGTGTTACTTGGGACTGGGACAGAAGTTGCGAGGACTCTTTTAAAAAAATTAAAAAGGTCTTAACCAGTGCGGAAGTATTATTGCATTACGATCAAAACAAACCGTTAATACTGACGTGTGACGCGAGCGCTCGAGGTATAGGAGGCGTGCTCACTCAGCCGTGCGCCGGCGCAGCGGGAAGCGAGCGGCCGGTGGTCTATGTGTCGAGAGCTCTCAGCGACGCGGAGAAACATTATTCACAAATTGATCGCGAGGCTTTAGCAATTGTTTTTTGCTTAAAAAAATTGCATCAATACCTGTATGGTCGACGGTTCACCTTACGTACTGATCACAAGCCGCTTGTCAGTATTTTTGGCCCAAAACATGGCATTCCTTTAATGGCTGCGAGCCGATTGCAGCGTTGGGCGATTACGGTATCCGCTTACTCTTATGACATAGAGTACGTTAGTAGTAAACAGAACTGTGCGGATGGCTTATCTCGTCTACCGGTATCGGTTCAATCCACAAAGAAAGAATGTTTAGATTTACCTGAACAAACGTATTTACATTTCGCTCAAAGTGAAATGTTACTAGATTATAATGAAATTAAAAAACAAACCCAGCGCTATCCGATTTTAGGTAGAATTATACTATACTTAAGAGAAGATTGGCCCATCGATAATGAGGTCAAATCATTGCAACCGTATTTTAACCGAAAAAAGGAACTATACGAAGAACTAGGGTGTATCATGTGGGGTCATAGAGTAGTCATACCGGAGAATTGCAGGGGTAGGGTGTTAAACGAACTCCACGAATGCCACATGGGAATCGTCAAAACGAAGGCGGTAGCTCGAAGCTATGTGTGGTGGCCGGGGATCGATGAGGCAATCGAAACGATGTGTCGAGCGTGCGTCGTGTGTGCGGCCGAGGCGGACGCGCCCCAACGGCACACTCCAAGCCCGTGGCCATGGCCGGCTAAGCCTTGGTCTCGTATATACATAGATTTTTTAGGGCCAATTTTCAATAAAATTTACTTGGTAATAATTGATGCCAGAACTAAATGGCTAGAGGTTTTTTATGTACCGAGTACAGCAGCTAGCCACACTATAGTTAAACTTTCCGCAGTTTTTGCTAGGTGGGGTCTACCTAAACAATTAGTATCAGACAATGGGCCGCCATTTATCAGTAGGGAATTTTCTCAGTTTTTAACAAATAATGGGATACAGCATGTTTTCACCGCACCGTACCACCCGGCTTCAAACGGTGCCGCGGAAAACGCAGTCCGCACTGTCAAGAAAGTTATTAAAAAGGCAGTGAGGGAAAATAAAGATATAAATTTATTTTTAAACACTTTCCTATTGCATTATCGAAATACCGAACATTGTACTACGGGCGAAAGTCCCGCTTCTCTCATGTTAGGAAGAAGATTACTTAGGTACTTAGACCGGATATTGAGAATAAAATTATTAAAACTCAAATAAACCAGAAAGAGAACGCTCCCACTGGTGAACGTGGCCTGCAGCCGGGTGAGGATGTATGGCTTCGCCGATATCAGGGGAGTGACAAGTGGACAGCCGGACAAGTGACGCAACGTTTGGGCGTAACGGACTACAAAGTTTTAGACACTATAGGTAAGGAGTCACATAAGCATATAGACCAGCTAAAACGTAGAATTAGGAGTTCACTGATTTGTCCCCGTAGTAGTAATAGTCAGCCAAATTCGAGTTCCGAGTCGTTGTCTTGCACCGGTGCAGAGGAAATTAATGCGCCTAGAATAAACCCTGCCGTAAAAGACACCGGGAGGAAATCAAAAGCACCGGAGGGAACCGAAATAATAGATAAGAGTGATTGCTTAGATACGGCAAGGGAAACGTCAACACTTCGTGCTCCATCAGCTCATACGTCGCCTGTGCCGCCCGCAACGCCGCCCCAGGTCTTCCGGCCGGTACGCAAGTGCCGTTTGGATAACCCCCCAAGCTATAAAGAGTAGTTACCATTGCACTATATTATTTTTATATACCTTTTTTTTTTTTTAAATATTTTCAAGATTTTTTTTTCCTTTTCTGTATAACAGTATAGTATAAAATACTTATATATAACTAATTGTAAGTCTTAATTAAGGGGGGAGGATTGTAATGAGGGTACATTAAATATATAAGTGATTGATTGTAAAAGGCTTGTCGAACAGTCACGAATAAACCGTCAATCCGCTTACCCGTGTCTTATTTACTTATTTACGAAATACACTACAGTTAACTATGACATTGGGACGTCATACACCTCAGTCCCCCCCGTGACCATGGGTGCTGTAAAGTGCTTGAAACGTCGGGAAAGTAAAATAAGTTAATATACGCGATAAAATCCGTAAAATTAGTTTTATTTAAATGTGTAGTGTTCGCGTAAATATAAGAAATCATTACACTTGAACATGTTTATCTGATTTCGTTCCATAGATATTTTCAGTTTATACTACACCTATGTTCCGCCCTGTGGATATTTAGCAACGAAGTTTGATTTGATCTGCATAAAATCATTCTCAATCGAAACATTTCATGTTATTTTTAAATGCTTATTCTATTCTGACTGCCTCGTTGGTCTAGTGGTTGTAGTAGTTCGACTGCTGATCATGAGGTCCCGGGTCGCGCCAAGAAATCACTTATTGAGCTTTTCCATCAAGAAATTCTCAGTAGCTGCCCGGAGTCAGGAAGTTATCGATGCCTCACCCCCGTGCCTCGGAAAGCACGTAAAGCCGTTGGTCCTGCGCCTGATCTCTCTCCGGTCGTGTCGGTTGACCGTCCCATCGGAATATGAGAATGAGGGAATAGAGAGTGCACCTGTGCTTGCGCCAACACTTGGGCACTATAATCCTGTCCAGCGCCGATGGCTAGTCTCCGTTGAGACTGGCCGCCGTGACCGAAATTCGGTCTGGAGGACATTATTAAATGATTATTCTATAAATAATAATGAAATAATTAGCAAAAGTAAAGGCTCCCTAGTATATTATAGTGTATTATCTATGGCAAAGGCTTTTGTTACGCAAAGACCTAAAACTGCGATTTACCATCCAGAAATTCATCACCACTTACCTCCAGTTGGGATTGTGATCAAGCACTGGCTTGTAACAAGTAAAAAAAAAAATTGTGCGTGATTATTACCATGTATATTAAATTATTACCATGTTTGTATAGTATAATATCTAATATTATATATTAGATATTCGAAATCCATCAAGAAAATCGTCACATCGTAAATTATGATAATACAGGGTTATTTTTCAAAGAATAGCCAAATTTTAAAGTTAAGTTCAAATATATAAAAATGACTGTCAGTGCACTTTTTGAAAATACGAAGAAATAAGGCTTCTACTTTTATTTGAAATTATCCCAAATTGAATGTCATTTATGCGATGCGACAACAACAAAAGCGTCTTGTGTGTGCGATTCTATTCAGTTTTTTCCGACCGATCGACCATTACGAATGAGTGCGTGCGTAGTAAAATGGTATTATATGAATGACATTCTGTTATAATAATGCATTACCACGCATTTTTAATTTAAAATTAAAGATTTTGTACAGCCGACTTCAATATAAGTTGAATAAAACTATTTTTACGGATTTTATCGCGTTTAATTACCTTATTTTATATTCCCGACGTTTCGGTTGCTTTCCAGCAACCGTGGTCACGGGGGACCAGTGCTTTCAGATCCCAAAAGTAAAATTACAGTGTTGCCAGTTAAAAAATACAGGAGTTTCTAAAAACAATACAGCAGATTTCAAAATCGATTACAGTAAAATTACAGTAAAACTTTGTTTAAATATTGATAGAAAAATAAGCTGCTTTATGACTTTGTTTATCAATACAAATTGCTATAAGTTATTAAATAAATAAAATCATACATTTAGGTTAGATTCCTTTGAATGAGTTTTTCTAGAAATAGTCATACATTGGAATTATACGAACATAGACGGTTGTATTGATGATTATAATGATTATAATTCTGTAAATACATACTCGTTACCCTCGCGAATCATATTTTGTTAAACATACAACCTGACACTGACCTGCAAATTGCAAAAAACGTAAGAAAATTTGAATTTCGCGGGCCACCCTGGAGTGTCCACTCTAAGTGTAATAAATTAGACGAAAAATGCAATGTTACTTTGTAAGACACTTACTGCTAGTGCTACTTATTACTAGTTGCGTCCCAGAGTGCTCCACGTCAGTTCCGATTTGCCCGGGAATTCCCCGCAACTTTGTTACAAACCTGCTGTAAATTGTCTATGGATAAAGGTGTAATTGTCTATGGATAAGGGTGTCAAAGAGAATATAATCACTACATTTGCTGGGTGTAGATTAGCTGCGTTCCGTTCTACGTATTAAAATTGATAAAGCTATATGAAAATTAAATACAGTATATTCTATACACTGTATTTTATCATTACAGTATACAGTGGAAAAATATAAAATACAGTAGATCTACTGTAATTACAGTGAATCTGGAAGCACTGCGGGGGACTGAGGTGATTGACGTCCCGATGTCAAAGTTTGACATCTTGACTTTGACATCGGGACGTCAATCACCTCAGTCCCCCGTGACCACGGTTGCTGGAAAGCA